AGAACAGCGGTTACAGAAATGATGACGTGGCGGACGCCTGCAGAGCCGGTGGGGCTCACGGAAGCCCCGAGGGGCAGACACAGAGGGAGGCCACCGCACATTTGCTCTAGCAGCATTTTTATTTACAAACAGCAATTTCCATTGACTTTATACCATAAAAAAGCCATTTACAAGCAAGAAACAAGAATTCAGAACAAAATTAAGCAGCACTGAAGTATTCATGTCACAAATCTAAACCAAAATGAATACAAGAGTAAAATATCATTTGAATAAATAGTCTTAAATCCATGCTATAAAATAATCCTTAATGGCAAGTTACGAGTAGATACAGCATCCGCTTAGCTAGCTTCATATACTTCATATGGTGATGAAGTGTGGGCTTGTGAGGTTACCAGTTTATATTGCAAGATAATGACACTGTGGTAAGTCATTCAAATTGCTCAACCATTTATAACGGAAAAAAGTGTTAGCCCTACTAATAAAAGTGGTGAGAGAGATGGTTTTCACATTAGGAAAATGGTCATTCTCAAAGAAACCAGGTACGTTTACCTCTTACTATAGTCGGGGCAGCAACCAAAGGCTTGGGCAGCAAGTCCAAAGGTTGAATTCACAGCATACTTGTCACTGAGGGGCAGCAAGAGGTCTGGTCACTGCGTCTGCGGCAGGGCTCACTCCGGGACTGGCCAAGAACTACGGGAGCCCCGTGTGTGCCGGGCCCAGAGGGGAACCGGCGGAAACAAGGTCCTCTTCCGGGCCGCGAGGCCGAGCACCGGGCAGAAACAGTGGAGACACTCTGGCACTTACTGAAGAAGACGTATGTGGCGCGTGACAACCATTACAAATTTGGAACAATGTGAATGACTCTCCTGAACGTTCAGTTCAGTTGCACTGAGTAATATGAAATCTATGATTTATGAACTAGATAGTTTCATATAAAGAATTTACATAATTCCCCAATACTTTCATATATAAAATTTAATAAATAACCCTGACCAGTCTAGAAGCACCATTCAAGGGGCGTGTGCCCTTGGAAAATAGTTTAGGTGTTGCATATTTGAGTCCCTTTCAGTGGAGGCTTCACAGGAAACCATTACAGAATTTAACAATAACAAAGACAACAACAAAAATCACAGTAACTAATAGAAAAAGTTGTTAAAATAAAATACATTGATTTCTTTAAAGTAAAGCTCATTCACGTGGATGATTCCCACCTTCCCTCCCCCCCCCCCACCCCGCCCCAGCCCTTGTTTTGTGTTCCTGCAAGTTCTTCCTAGAGTCTAGGCTGGAAAAACAAAAGTAAAAACAAAACCACACACAAAGATATGCAGGCCTATGGTCTGGGCTAAGGGAAAAACAAAGACTTGGTTATAACTGCTATCATGAGAAGACATCTACTCATGCTCTGGAAGCTGGAAAATCATCAATTTAGTTCTACAGTATATTCTGCTTAACAGTGAACCGACAGTATCCTTTCTGCTGTTAAACACCAGGCACGCGCACACGCACCCACGCACGCATGCACGCGTACACACACACACACACACACACACAGAGGCAGGCACGCGCACACACACACACAAACAAAAAACAAAACTGCCAAGGCAGAGCCAACTGGGAGGCTTTCCACTGACCAAAAAAATTAACTTGTCTTCATATGCTGTATTTACAAATATAATTTCTAAATGTATTTACAGCTTTAGTAGAAATTAGAGGGGAGAGAACTGATTAGAATGAAAAGAACTGTTTAAAACCACAAACGTTAGTAAAAGTATAAAATTCTTTGTTTTCACAGTTTGTAGTAACAGGTGAAACACCTAGAGGAAAGGACGCCGTCACTGTCTTCACATTGTCTACGTATTGGAAAAGGTAGCTCAAGAAGAGACTCAATTATGAAAAGACCTTATATGAATTCAGGATATGTTTTGCTGTAAAGGATTTCTTCACATATCACTTCTATCTTAGTTGACTTTTGCACTTGTTATAAATGAAACATCTAACCTCAAACTGTACAGAAATAGGGACTCTGCTTTCCAAAAAGAGTTGCTCTAAGGAGTTACACAGCGAACTTCGTCTGCGGAGACGTGAAGGGACCTTCGGGGAGACAATGTTTCCGTTCTGTGGCCATGGTCATCCTCCTGGCACAATCCTCATGTGACAAGGCACAATTCATTGCTGCTGCCCGATCTGAATGGAGTTAACCTTTCACCCGCCACGCACACTGAGAAGCACGACGGCGTGCTCGCCCAGAGAGGCTGCCCAGCTCTGCGCTGGCCTACGCGCTGCCTCCTCGAAGCCCTGTGGAACCTTACAGTACTGGGTTATGGCTTGAGAATTCATTCTTAACACTGCTAGCAGTGGAAAGGGTAAAGTGTTAGCAACATGAATGGGAGGCAAGTGGAACTTGCAAAATGTGGACTCATGGTTATTAGAGAGAAACTCAATCAATTTTTCTGCCCCTCAACAGTCCCATTACAATGTTTGAACCTGAACTGTACAATCAAAGCAATGTATAGTTTTGTCAAAGACAATTTTGGATAAGTCACTCTTTGGTAAACTCAAACCAGTTAAACAAATTGACAAATACAAAGAACTCCATTTAAACAAGGTTAAGACGGACACAGTGACAAGAACCAGGCTATTCGAGGTACCTGCCCCAAGTGCTCTCCCCTCCTGACTTGTCTCATCTATCACAGAATGCTCTGGAGACCTCTCAGAAGGCCCCAAGCCTGAGTGAAAAGGAGGTTCCTTCCCTGAGCCTGACCTCTCATCCTTGATTTGGGCATTCCTTGTCACGAACTTAATTTGTATCACCACACATATTTTTTGCATTTAATTCTTAAAAAAGAAAAATCAAAAGCAAACTTAGGTAAGGGGAAAAAAAAAATCACAAACATTTACCTGAAACCCCAGAACATATTTAAGTGGGTAAACACTTGGGGTCCAGCCTCCCCTTGAGGCACGCGGCTTTGACAGGAGTTGAGCAAGTGCTTCAGGGAGAGAACGCACCCCTTACTTAGGCAGTTTGACAGGAAAAGGCATACTCTATATACCCGATTTAGCAAGAGCTGCTCGTCAGGAGCAGCAGGATTAGAGTGTAATCTGTCCGTAGTAACACTGATGTGGAGCGCAGCAGTTCACACGTGAACACACGGCTCCCGTGTGCTACAGAGATGCTACCGCACGGCTACCACCCCCCGGGGGTTGTCACACACAAGGGCCTCAACGATTTTCTTGTCTCAAAATAACAGAACGTCAAACAAAACAAAAACCTCCCCCAAAGACCCCGTGGCCCTCCCAGCACCCCCCCCCACCCCTTCTTGGTATTGTAAGAGCCAAAAAAGCACGGAAAACCAGCAAACGTCTATTTTTGTATTCCTTTTAACTCCTAGCCTCTGAGGTTGGTCTTTTTTCACGTCTGTGTTTCTTTTAGGTGGTTCGTGCTGTTCTCCTGTGGAGACACACTGGCTGCGAGTCTCAGAGCCAAGGTCCTCCAGCAGAGTCTGGGGCTCCGACACCCCACGGGCAGCCCGCGGCCCAAACGCCCCATCCACCTGCCGACGGAATTCCTCTGTCGGAGTACACAGTACCGAAGCCATCTGGTAAAGCCCGTTTTGTTCACTACAAGCACACGGGTAAACAAAATATAGAACCCAAGACACTTCCTAAAGCATCAAGAGAACAAGTATTCAAATAGGACTCAGGTATGTTTTCATACAGTAATGTGTTTGCCAGCACATGCTTTTGAGGTCTCTTTTCAAGCTATAAACTCAAGAGAGGGAAAAAAAAAAAACCAAAACAAAACCTGTAATTCACTATTACCATTAGATTTCACATTTTCTACAACTATACTGACCTAAAAGATACAGAACATAAAAATAGCACCACGTGACCAAAAAAATGGTGACACACACAGATTTGGTGACACACAGAGTATCTTAGAGGGCTTTTTGACTGTTGGTTTCTTTAAGCAGGAAACACTGAGAGTGGGGGAGCCACTGAGGCTCTCGTTAGCACACACGATACTAAGATAGATATATTGCTTGCAATTCCCATAGAGTATATCTTTACAAAAAGTACAAATTCCAAGTTCTGCAGTTTCCCTGGGAACCGCATGTAGAAAAAGTTGCTGTGCACCTGAACTAGCTGTTTGAGAAAAGAGAGAGAGTGAGAGAGAGAGAGAGAGAGAGGGGGAAAAAAAAAAAAAAAAAAGAAACGAAGAAACAACCCACAACACTGCTTGGAGAATTTTGTAGACAGAACTACAAATCCCTTTCCTTTAGTGCGAGTAGTAACTCATGGTAGAGTGATTCGATTTAGTTACCTGGTATGTATGTTTCTACAGTACGGAATGAAGGTAGATTCGTAGGCCAGTAAAAACATTGAAAACCACTGCTCCTTTGGGGTTGGCTAATATAACACTACAATATGTAAAAAGGTCAGCACCACGGGTCATCCAGCTTACCTACTGGACAACAAACAAAAATTCCAAAACGGTTTCCAACTAGAGTTGAATACATTTTACGGCATTTGGTTTATGTACTTGTCATGAAGCAGAGCTAGGAACACTGTGATTTGCTTTGCTTGCTTTTGGACACGATGATTAATATATATGAAAACCTATTAACATTCTTTTGTAAGGGAAATAAAGGGGCAAAACCCTAACATTGGGTAGGAAACGAGACAGGGTCAAAAGCCCTGTTCACATTGTATTAAATTATATATTCCTCTTACATTCACCTCAACCAGAATAAAATCAAATTTGAGAATGTATATATACTATATATATAATAATCGCTTTATTATATATATATATAAATTGTCTAACTACCCCCTAAAAGTAATTTTAAATTAGAAAAGGTTACCCATTTGTATCAGCTGACGGCATCTGGTCTCTCCCCGTGGAAATGCACCGGTGCCAGTGCACACAACGAGAGAGCATGCCTCTTGGCAGAGAATGTAGGGTCAACCAGTTGGCATAGCTAAATCACTGGCAGATTTGGAATTAAGAGTTCAGCCAAAGAGGAATACTGTCAGCCTGTGTTTTCCCTGGATACGTTGCCCTTCATGCTTTGAGCTCCTTGGGAGAGGGAGGGCGGGGGAAAGGATAAACACAATTAAGTGTTCCTTCCAGAAACCTTAGAAAAACTGCCAAGAGACCGAGAGATTTCCAGATGGTTGGGAAAACCAAAGATTACAACAAAGCAAATCACAAATATGCATTGATTAATGTGCTTTGTTTGGGCACACTTCGTTACCATCTTAATCAGGAGCATCAGACACTGTGTGAATTTCCATCCGGGAATCTAGGGCCATCTCGGAGGCCGATGCGTCATTTTCTAGTTTCTGTTCCACGTACACATCTGTTCTCTCGGGGGACTCAATGCGACTCCTGACTTCGGCGACGCCAGGGTGGTTTTTCCGCAGGTGCTGGTTGAGGGTACCTTGGAATGGAAAGCACTTGCCGCAGATCTCACAGCGGAACGGTTTGTCGTCGGTGTGGCCCCGGATGTGGTACTCCAGCTGGTCCTTGCGCGTGTACTTCTTCCCGCAGAACTTGCACACAAAGGGGGTGATTCCCATGTGGAGCCGCATGTGCCTGTCCAGGCTTCCTTTCTGGTTGAAGGACTTCCCGCAGTAAATACAGATCAGCCTCTCATTGTATGGGTACCAGTGCCCTCTTGCACTCCTCTCCCGGGGGCTGCTCTCATACCCGGGGTTATTCATCATTGCTTCGCTATCAGAACCCTGCACCAAGCCCTGCAGATCGCTGTGCAGGTGGACGGACAAAGCTCGCTTTTGGCGAGCGCGCCCTCCTCGAAAACAGCTCAGCATGGATCTGGACGGGCTGGAATTACTCAAACTTCCAAAAGCTTCGGAGACGCTGGGAGGCTGCGAGGCGGCTTGGGAATAGGAATAGGCGTGCTGGAGCACGGAGCCGTAGGACCCCACGTTCACGGCCACAACCTGCTCCCCGTCCACCATCTCCGTGTGGTACCCGTCGTCCCCCAGGGAGGAGCTGTCGGAACAGCTGGGCCGGTCGGACTTCTCCATCTTCACCTTCACCTCGGTGATCTGGCTCTCCCTCACCAGCAGGTCCCCTTGCTCATGGTCCCCCTCTATCTGGATCTCGTACTCGGAAACGCTCCCGCTGCTCCCTCGGTCCGAGTGCCCTTCCTCCTGTAAGCGGCTGCGCAAAGCTTTGTTGGGCGTCGTCTCCATCCGAAGATCGCTGCTCGTGGTGGGCTGCCGAACCTGAGAGCAATACGGAGGGGAGATCTCGACGGGATTGGCAAAGAAGCTGCTGTCCTTGACTCCATTCCGACTCTCTGTTGTCTCCTCGGTGCCGACAGTCACGGAGTCGACGTCTCCAACGCTGATCTTTGAATGGATGCTCTCCAGGATCTGCGTGCACTTGTCAATGACGCACTGCATCTGAAGAAAGCTGGCCGCCGTCAGAAAGCTGACAACATCCTTCAGCTGCAAGGACATTCTTCCAGTGTAACAAAATGAAAGCAACTGCTCAAACACATTGGGATTTTTAATCACGGATATTGACAAGCCACTCATGGTACTTAATGCTGAATGGTCCCGGAAATAGGGGGAGCTGGCAGCGAGGACTGCTTTGTGGGCTCGGAATGGCTGACCCTGAATGTGGACAATGATGTCACATAGTTTCCCTTGCAGGCGGAGTTCGTTTAGCTGGCTCAGAACAGTGCTGCTGTACTCGGGCACATCAAACTGAATAAAACTGCTGCTGTCCATTTCTACTGACATGAAGCGTAATCTGCAGAAAGAGAGAGTTTCATAATTCACCAGTGACTCCTCACTAAGCACAAGCGGCATCAACACAAGCTTGCGAAAATCACACCACCACCATCACCACCACCACTGCGGCCACAGTGCCTCGGAGGGTTGACCTGGGCATTCTTCCTCTTACTTACTTTCAGTCTCTCACGTCTTGGTCAAGTCACCGAAAGTCAGATGACCTAAAGATCAATCAGCCTAGTGCCCCAAATGCCTAATATTCATCTTCATCGAAATTATAACATGTTATAGACAGTAGGGCCTTTGCAGCTGATTGAGAATTTGGTATCCTTTTAGGAAAAATATTTCCCTGTTTTACCTACTTCTGAGCATTTGGAATACTTCGTAAAAAAAAAAAAAAAGCACACTCATCTGAAAACTGTTCTGCTTTATTTGTATGTTTCCAATTGGTGTTTTCCAGGCAGACAGCACATGGGATACACTGAACAGACCTAAACGCTTTTTAGTTTAGAATCTGAGTGGTCTTGATGTGCACTTTCCCCCCCTTCAGTTCTGCACACCTTATTATCCTTTTGGGTTGGTAACTGACCCTTTCAGTGAAGAGCTTTAGACAGGGCAAACACCAAGAGCGATGGACATATCACAAGGATATCAATGCCCACCAGTGCTCACAGCATACCCACACCTTGGACAGGCTGGCTGCCCCTGCCAAGAACCCAGTGCACCGAATCGCTCACAACTACAAAAGTGGATACAGCCCGGCTGCGCTCTCTGACCAAAACCAATGCAATCAGATCTAACAATTATATTTCAGTGGTTAAAATCCAACCAATTGAAATTTAAGCACCTTCTGAATAAGCACTGAATCAAGAAGAAAATCAAAAAGGAATAAAACTATTCAGAAAAAAGAAAACTCACATCAAATCTGCAGCAAAAGGGCTTTAGGAATAAAGTTTAAGTTTACTTATGTCTTCAACTTACTTGGGAATGCATCCAAAAATAGAGATGGATAGAGAGGTGATAAAGCAAACACAGGAATGTGTTAACAAGCGTAGAGTGTAGATGGTGGGTGTATACAGGTGTTTTCTGTAAATCCACCTTTTTTGTATATTTGAAATTTTTCAAAATGAAATGTTGAGGATTTTGAAACAACAAATTTTAAAGTCAGTGCCTTAAAAGTTTTTGTCATTAAACAACAAAGAAGAAAAATAAATGGACTCACCAAAGAGGTCAGAAAAGGAACAACCAACTAAACCCAAAGAAAGCAAAAAAAGTAATGAATACAGAACAGCATATAACCGCAGAGAAATTTTTTAAAAATTATAAGATAAACAATGTGCAATTAAATCTGACACCTGCAGGAAAGGACCGACCAGTTAGTGTGGCTAGATCACACCAGAATTTTTTTATTATGTCAGAATCCGAATTAAAACATTTTAGTTAAGGAGGAACACTGTGCTCTTATTTATCCTAGATTTATGATTGAAATCAATTTGAAATCTGTACGGAACAGACATATTTTTAGAGTAACATAAATTGGCAGAATTAAATAAAAAGAAACAGAAGTGCCAAAGCATAAATGATCTTCAGGCCGTTCACACTGTTTTAGATGCATGTTGAAACATTTAAGGCATCTCAAAAAAAAAAAAAAAAAAAAAAATTAAAGCATCTCAATTTATATGGCATACATCTGAATACCAGAAGATGGCAAACAGCATAAAGAGAGACGACTGTCAACTTTACCTAGTAAACAGATTGTAAAGTCCTCAAGGAAATACTTGGAAACATAACCTATTAAAATAATAATATATTGTGACCAAATGTAAGGATGGACGCATGTTGGAAAACGTATAAATGTAATCTGCCACATCAGTAAGTCAAAGGAGAAAAACCATATGGCCAAATCAAAACTATGCTAGCCGTGGATTTTAGAAAGTTAAATGCCTTTTCAAAGTAAGGGGAAAAACAGGAAGAGGGTATTTTCTTAATGTAATAAACAGTACCTACTGCAAAGCCGATGGCAATACCATCCTTAGCAAGGAAACATCCTATCCGTGGTTCCCAAAATGTATTTAGTAGCACACAAGCCCATGTGTAGACTGAATATCCCTACCTCTTAGGGGTTGAACAATATATTAACATATTAACCCATCTGAAAAGTCCTCCAGACAAGAATTCTATTTAACTCAGCCGTTTGCACACTCATTTAAGCGTGTAACTCTTCTCTCAAGGTAGATACATATATATGCCCAAGAATTAGTGTTCCCTGGTACACACTCTTGTAAACACTTTCGTAGAGGCATTCCCATTAGTGCCTGGGAGGATACAAGGTTGTCTGCCCATCACTTCTCTTACTTAACACTGCTTTGGAAGTTTCAGCCAAAGCCACAGACAAGAGAAAAATTAAGGCACAGAGCCATTAGAAAAGAAGAGGTAAAATTACTATTCAAGGCAGACAGGACTATTTACACAGAAAACACAAGGGAATCACTGGAACAAATCTGTTTAGAAGCAGGAACTAGCAAATGAAGCATTTCAAAAATTACTGTACATAAAAAACCAGTTAGGTAAGATAATGACAAGTCGCAGCCGTCAACAGTAACAGAAACTATGAACTACCTGGGGGATAAACAAAAAATAGGCTCTGCAAGAAGAAACTGAAACACTTTAATAAGGACAAAAACATATAAACGAAGACACACATGATGCTTCTAAAGGAGTCCACACTATAAACACTTTCACCCAAGACTGATTTATGACTATAATGCAGCCCAATGAAGTACTTCCTTAGTAACTTCACAAACACCGTGTGGTGTTTCCTAGCGGTTCCATTAACAATAAAAATGTTAACATTTTATGTATTTTTACTTAACCCAGTTAAAGCATCAACATATAATCAATGTTAGAAAGTTATTAGTGAGACCTTTCACATTCTTTTTTTCATACTAACTCTCTGAAATCTGACGTGTATTTTACACTTACAGCACATCTCAATTTGGAATAACCACATTTTAAGTGTTCAATAGCCCTATGTGGCCAGTGGCTACCACACTGTGGACAGCGTAGATCTAGAAGAATAAATACTAAGGCATTTTAGGAAAACAAAACAACCACAAAAAAACCCAGCTGAAGATATAGATGTCAAAATGTACGATCACGCTAGAATTCATTCACTCTGTGTACTGTCTTCTCCCCGCCAGGCACGAGGGGTCCAGGTAAGCTTGAATTCTCTTGTTACAAACTATGATAAGGGCTAGAAGATCTTTTGTAAAGGGAGCGGGGAGGTGCTACAGACAGAAGGAATGACAAGCATAAAGAGACAAGAGCCTGAGCAGGAAGGAAAGAGGCGTTAGAGAATTGTGGTACAGTTAGGGGAAGGAACAAGGGGAAGGACAAAGGTCTCACATGGCTGTCAAGGTAATAAGTGAGAGTCAGTCCAGATGGGCCCTACGGGCCATTTCCAATCAGCGAAAAAGGAAGAATTTTTGAAATAGATGCTTCTCGGATAATGTGAATATATAATAACAAAGTTAGATCTCTTCTTCACCACACATCCCCCCATAAGAACTTCTAGAGAAGGTCTTACTATGCACAAAAAGGCAGACACCGAGAAAAAAACAGAGATTTAACCACAGAAGAACTTCTATACATCTAAAAAACGGCTTCTGACCAAAAGCAAACGACAAGAGACAAATTATGAAAAATATGACATATATGGTGAAGAAGTAGAAAACTCTTACAAATAAAAGCAAATTTAACAATTGAAAAATGGGAAAAGACTATGAACAGATGCTTCAAAAAAAAAAAAGAAATTAAAATAGTCTTGAAGCACAGATAAAGTGCTTAACAACATCAATAAACAAACAAACAAAACTTAACACAAGACACAATTCTTTCTCCAGTTGGCAAGATTTAAACCCGCCTGGCAGTGCTATCAGGACTGCGGCGATCTTGTATGCTCCTGGTAGGCAAGTGTAACAAAGCCTTGCAATGGGCACTTCTCTTGACTCAGCACTCTCTATCCCGGATGTAGGCACAAGAACTTATCCATTGGTATATCCAATTACAATAGCAAAACAATGAAAACAATCAAAATGTCCACCTTCTTGGAAATTATTAAAGGATAGCACACCTATATACTGAATACTATGTCATTATTTAAACTGATGTTAAGGAAGCATACAAAGCAAGCGCTATAAAATCTGAGCCCCCGAAGGCAAGGATTTTCATCTGTTTTATTAACTAGCATGCAGCTTACCGCCTGGCACATAGTAGACACTCAATAAATATTTGCTGAAAGAATACTCAATAACATGGCAACAAATCAACTGCAAATGAGCGCAAAGGATCTTTATGGGTGACGGAAATGGTCTAAAGGTGGGTTACTCTAAGAGTGTATAACATCATAAATTTACTAAAAATCACTGAATTGTACATTTAAGATGACCAAATTCTATGATATGTAAGCTACACCTCAGTAAAGCTGTTAAAAAAAAATCAGATGGGCACCTGGGTGGCTCAGTTGGTTAAGCACCTGCCTTTGGCTCGGGTCACGATCCTGGAGCCCCGGGATCAAGTCCCACATCGGGCTCCCTGATCAGCAGGGATTCTGCTTCTCCTGCTGACCTCTCTCCTCTCATGCTCTCTATCAAATAAATAAATAAAATCTTAAAAAAAAAATCAGGTAACAACAAAAGTAGGATATTTCTAAAATTATGTATGTATAAACAGATATTAAATATACATAGAAATAATACTGAGAGATAAATACAGAATGGTTACATTAATCTAAGTTTAAAAACGTTTTTACTTTCTTCTTCACACTTTCCTGTATTTTCCAAACTTCTAACAGTGAACATTTATTACTTGGAATGACAAAAAAAGGCCAAGTAAAAAATATCTTAAAATCCCTGATGATGATAATCTGACAGACATTACTGGTGAATTGTAAAATAAGCAAATACTTTGGAGGGCATTTTAGTGATTGTCCATTGAAATTACAAATGCACATTCCCCATGACCAAGGAACTTCAGCCCTAGGAATTTACTACTTCACTGGACAAAACAACAAAAGATTCGGAACAGACTATATGCCCATCAAGAGGAGCGTGGTTAATAACTTATGGGACATCCATATTTAAGACTACTATACAACCAGGGGCTGTATATGTA